GGATGCCCCGCCGTGCGGCGAGCCACCGGAGTTGTCCACCGCCTTCCCTTTGCCGCGGTTGCGGCCGCCACCCCCGCTGGAGCCGTTGCGGCGGTTGTTGTTGCTGATGTTGGAGCTCGGTGGAGGAGGAGCGCGAGCGGTGTGAAGCGCCGTCTCGTGGGTGAAGTCGGGGTTCAGGAGGCTCTCTTCTAGAAGCAGAAAGGCGCGGCAGCGGAGGAAGGTAGGGAATGGCGTCTGCATCGTGAGGATGGGGATGGCGTACCGGAGACGAGGGTGAAGGCCGCGAAACATGTTGAGAACTTGGTCGCGGTCCGGCACGATCTCGCCGAGGTCAGCGAGCCGGTCGGCGCACTCCTTGAGGCGCCCGAAGTAGTCAATGACAGACGCGCCGCCCTGCTCGATGCGTCGGAACTCCGTGGCGAGGAGGACGACTTGGTGCTCTGCGTTCTCCATGAACAGCGAGAGGACCGCACCCCATATCTCCGCGGCCGTGGCGCCGCGCTGGTGAACGAGGCGGAAGATCTCCGGGCTCACGCGCATGTACAGCCAGGAGAGGATGTGGGCGTCGTCCTGTATCAAGATGGCAACGGGGACGAAACCCATCGGGTTTTGCCTTCCCAAACCCATCCCCACGAGAAAATTGCAAACCCGTCCCCATCCCCATCACCGTGTGCGGGGCTAGTTTTTTGCCCGTCCCCTAAACCCATCGGGTTTCGGGGAACCCACGGGGAACCCGCAATAAAATCAAAATATTTAAACAAACATAGTGGCAACAAAGAATAACATTTCAAAAGCAAAACAAGAACATTTCAGCTGCCTAACTTGAGTAAATTTCAACAAAAAACAATAGTAGATGGTTCAACAGCTATATAAGCTCTAAAATAGAACTTATAGTTCACAAATCACTTTAAAGTTGGAATCATCATGGCATCTTTCACATCTCCAAGCCTCCAAACGACCATCTTCAAATCTTCCAATGCAAAATCAAAGTGCCAAGTCCTAGGGAAGATCAAAATTCGCTCAAGCTAAAGTTAAACATGAGAAAAATATGCAGATTAGTATATGAAATTTGCAAGTACCTGTACTTCACCTGCATTCCCTCTTGAATGTCTTGAAGAAAACTCCAAAAGCGTTGTCCTTATTCATTGTCAGCATCTATGAGAATCAAATAAGTAGTAATGAACATCTTATGAAATATTGCAGCATGATAATGATAAACTTTATGTTGATATGTAAAGAAAGACACACCTTTATATTTGTTTCTTATCCAATCTTGTGAACACATCAGCGCCTCTAAGATTTCAGGGGTAAGATGACTACGGTGGTAAAAAAAATAATGTAATTTCGCGGGTATTGCCGGGTTTCGGGTTCGGGGACTATCGAAATGGGTGTAAACCCACGAAACGTGTCGGGTTGTATAATGTGCCCAACAACAGCCTCGCGGGGATGAAAAGATGCACATCCCCGTCCCTTAATAGGGTAAAAACCCACGGGGACGCGGGTTTCGGGGCCCCATTGCCATCTTGAGTCCTGTACCCAGGCGGCGTCGCCGGGGCGAGCCGGGCCGGTGATGTGGTCGGTGATTGCGTACTTCTGGAACATGACCTCGAAGAGAGTTCGCCACTGAGAGAAGTTGGGGGGGGGGGGTTGAGGGTGAGTGTGATGGGCACATGCTGGTTGATGTAGACGCCGGCGAGGGGGGTACCGAGCGAAATTCCGAGATCTCGCGCGTTTACCGCCCCCCTCGAGAACTACGCATACCGAGCAAAAAATCTCGAATAATTTGAAAATTTTGAATTCAAACGCTCACAGCATAGTTAAATACAGGCCATCTCTTATCCAACCGTAGAGCTACTCGCGGCCTAGTGGTAAAGCCAACCTTTTGTAAGCTGCTAGACGCGAGTTCGAATCCGGCCATACGCTTTTTATTTTTCTTTTTGAGGATGCAAAAGTTAAAAAACATTGCTAAATTGTGGGGCGACCAGGGTTCGAACTCGGGACTTCTACACAGGTGGTAGCTGCTGCCGAATAGCCACTAGGCAAGAGAAGCATTAGTGATATTTAGGACTGATAAACCTATCTATATCTACTTCAAAAAAATTTGAATTCAAAATTTGATTTGAAATTTCGTGCGATATTTTTCCGGAATTTCGTGGTTACAGACAGGGGATGGAACCGGCGTCTGATAAGGAGGAAGAATGAACTAGGCACCTTGCCGTCCTGCTGCTGTATTGGACTCGTATATATGAGTTACAGGTGCATGAGAGTGCACGGTTTGTACAAGGCGATCGTGCGCTGGAGGAGGGATCGTGCGCTAGAGCACGTTCCGAGTGAGCTACGTGGGTTGACCATGCAGTGGCTTCTGACAATCAGTTCAACGCGCGGCCGTGGGTTGTCAAGGCATGCCTGCTGTGTTGATCGGGGATTCCCTTTACTTGCTGCTCTCTGACGGTGGTATAACTGTAATTCTTGAGGTTGATTTGAATAGGCAGAGCCTAGCTTTGATACAGGTGCCACTGTGTATGCTTGCCTATGGTCATTACAGGGACTTTCTGACACTTATGCGAGCAGAGGGTGGCGGGCTGGGTTTACTCTGCAAGAAAGGCTTCACCGCCAAATTATGGAAGAGGAATGCTGGTTGTGATGGTGTTGCTTCGTGGGTGCTGGGAAGAACTATTAGACTGGACAAGCTACTTTCCCTGAATTTAGAGATAAAGCACATACAGAGGATAGCGTATGCCGAGGAAAATAATGTGGCTTTCTTGCGGACAGTTTCCGGTATCTTCATGGTCCAGCTTGAGTCATTGCAGTTCAGTAAACTTCCTGAAAACAACAACTGTGCTATCTGTTATCCATTAGAAAGTGTCTATGCTGCAGGTAAAACTATGTCTTCAAACTCTGGTTATAACAAATCTATGTTGATTTTCGATAATTATTGATGGAATATGCCGTTCACATCCTTTTGTGTTAAGCTAAACATCTTAAGTAGCGTCATATTACTTGTTTCTTTTGCTGCTTGATGACCTCTTCAACATATAGCGCAGGAATTTTTCTTCTAGCTCGACTTCTTCCTCTTTTCATATCTTTACCTTTGATAATGAGTTTTATTTCTTTAGTAGGTACAATAACACTATTCTTAGGAGCTACTTTAGCTCTTGCTCAGAGAGATATTAAAAGAAGCTTAGCCTATTCTACAATGTCTCAATTGGGTTATATGATGTTAACTCTAGATATTCACCAGAACCTCAATTAGTTCTGCAGTTCTTCTGTTGTGATGCTTGCGTGGTAGCTTTATTTGATGGTTATGATCTGGATTTACATCTGTTACTGGTTATGTAACAGTTGAACTAAATTTCATTGTTTGCCTTTTGACATATTCAAGAATTGTATATTGGTAGTGCTGTGGTGCAGGTTTTTGTCATGGTGAAAACAACCGCATGTGAATATTCTCTAAATTTGACTGGCTGTTTGGTTTTGTTTGTCTTCCTAATGCTGTATCAGAACTGGGTTTTTCTTGTTCCAGATTACAGTTGTGAGTTATGTAAATATCTTCCTAATGTTGTATCTATTTAGCTTTCCATTAGAATGTTATTGGTTGTTTGACTTCTTATAATTGCAGAAACAAGCATTGGTGGTGGACATGGTGGAGCTGATCAAGATATGATAGTATGATGTACTGGTTGAGCAGGAAAGCTTATCTTCTGAATGTATGCCGAGGTATCTGAAGTTCTGAACTGTTCTGTCAAAACCATGTATTTTTCCCCTTTTTACTGCCATTTCTCATGTACTAAATTGCAAGAGAGGGTTGTAAGCTTTTCTCTACAATCTTTTGCTTAATTGTTCCCCACCTGGCCACTTCCCAACATGCTTCCTGTAAAATCTAGAGGTTTTGGTGTGAAGCGTATGCCTCCTGGCAGGGACGCGTGCGTGCTTATATAATCAACAATGTACAAGATACGGCAGGTGGTTTTAGGCTTGGCCCCTCATCCAAGCTATACACATTATCTACAAGAGATAAGCTCGCCTCTAACCACCTGCCTTGGATTACAAGGTGATACACACGCACACAAACACAATCGTGACATTGTCACGTTACAATACAACTTAAGCCTATCGTTTAACATCCTCCCTCAATCTAAACATGTCAAGGTTAAGATTGTTCTTGAAGGCTTGTAGTTGTCGAGCTTGTAAAGGCTTTGTGAAACCATCAGCAACCTGATCTCCAGTTGGTATAAACCTGATTTCCAAAAGCTTTCTTGCAACTCTTTCTCGAACAAAATGAAAGTCAATTTCTATGTGTTTTGTTCTTGCATGAAACACAGGATTCGCAGAAAGATATGTTGCTCCAAGGTTATCACACCATAGACAAGAGACTTGTGACCTTTCAACTCCTAGTTCATCAAGTAGGGTTTCTACCCACATTACCTCAGCAGTTGCATTTGCAAGTGACTTGTATTCTGCCTCTGTGCTGGATCTAGAAACAGTTGCTTGTTTCTTGGCATTCCAAGATACGAGATTAGAACCAAGAAAAACAGCAAACCCACCAGTAGATCTCCTGTCATCAGGACATCCTGCCCAGTCTGCATCAGAAAAGGCACTTACTGTGGTTGATGATGACTTACATATTTTCAGTCCTATTCCAGCACTTCCTTGGATATAGCGCAGTATTCTTTTAACAGCTGTCCAGTGCATGGAAGTGGGAGCATGCAAAAATTGACAGACCTTATTGACAGAGAAAGATATATCAGGTCTTGTCAAAGTAAGATATTGAAGTGCACCAAACAACACTTTTATACTTAGTTCCTTCTTCTGGACTTAACAGTTCCCCTTCATGTAAGGACAACTTTTCTGTAGTAGACAAAGGAGTGCTACAAGGTTTACACCCCTTCATGCCCACACGCCTCAGAATATCATTAGCATATTTCTCTTGAGTCAACAAAATCCCATTAGGTATCTTTTTTACCTCAATACCTAAGAAATAATGTAACTCTCCCAAATCCTTAAGTGCAAAATCATTTTTCAAATTTTTGAGTAAAGCTGAGGTGGCCTCTGGTGAGGAGCTAGCAACAATTATGTCATCTACATAAATGAGCATATAGATAATCACCTTCCCTTTCTGAAAGAAGAACAAGGAGGTGTCACCTTTGGAGGGCCGAAAACCAAGTTGCTGTAACTTTGTGCTCAACCTGGAGTACCAAGCTCTGGGTGCCTGTTTCAGACCATACAAAGCTTTGTCCAACTTACAAACATACTGAGGTTTAGTCTCATCGACAAAACTAGGTGGTTGCTTCATGTAAACCTCCTCCTCGAGAACGCCATGTAAGAACGCATTCTGAACATCCAGTTGGCGAAGACTCCATCCCCTGGTGACAGCAATAGACAAAACAAGTCTAATGGTGGCAGCTTTAACAACTGGACTAAATGTGTCCTCATAATCAATGCCATAACGTTGCTTGAAGCCTTTTGCAACTAGCCTAGCTTTGTATCTATCCAAAGTGCCATCCGAGTGTCTTTTAATTTTGTACACCCACTTACAGTCTATAATATTCCTCCCTGACTTTGGAGAAACTAAATGCCATGTTCTATTGTTCATAAGAGCATTATACTCTATTTCCATAGCACGCTGCCATTTTTTATCTCCTAGCGCTTCTGTCACACTTCTAGGTTCTTGAGCAACAACAAGATTTGCAAATTTAAAATTTTTATCATACCTGGCCGTCCCATCTTTGGGAACCAACGGCTTAAAAATACCTTTTTGGGACCATGTACTGGGGCGCACAGGAGCAGCAGCCACAGACGATCCACCAAGCGGGGGAGCGGGCCGATCCTCCTCGACTGAGGCGCGCGCCTGTGCAGGCGACAAGACAGACCGATCCGCCTCGGCTGTGGTGCGATCGGGCGTGGGATCGCGCACCCGCTCGGGCGACAAGGTAGGTTGGTGGACAGGCGACACACGCCCATGGGCCCGTCCGCCAGAGTCATCATGACGCGGAGATGCGGCGGTGCTAGGCGACACACCTGTGTCGGACCCACCAGGACACGTGCGGCACACAGAGCCGCCAGCAGTGGACCTGCCAGCCGAGGAAGATCACAAATCAGCGCCTGCTGTCACAGGGGCGCAGGATCCCGCGCCGCCAGATCTCTCGGGATCGGCAGCCGCAGCAAGATCGTCCTCGTGTTCTGCGCTGGTCAGACTTGGACTGATGTGCTGCATAAAATCATGATGCAAATTGCCATTTTCTGTCACATTTTTTTCACTGTTTCCTGCAGCATCATGAATATGATTAGTGGCACCATTAACCATATGATCAACACTATTACCCCCCTATCAGTAGGATTCAAAAGCTCCGGTGATAACAAGAGGATTTCGGCTCTCAACCGTGCACCCGCATTAGGATGCAAGGTGGAAAAGGGAAAGATGTTTTCATCAAATACCACATCTCTGGAGATATAGACTCTGCCGGTAGATATATCTAGGCATTTGTACCCCTTGTGAAGATTACTGTATCCTAGGAAAGCACACTGTTTGGATCTAAATTGGAGCTTATGTGTATTGTAGGGCCTAAGATTCGGCCAACAAGCACAACCAAATATGCGTAGAGAAGAATAATTTGGTGTTTCACCAAACAATCGAGTGAGTGGAGTCTCAAAGTTTATGACTTTGCTTGGCATCCTATTGATTAAATAGGTAGCAGCAATAAATGCCTCATCCCAAAATTTCAAGGGCATGGAGGCTTGAGCAAGTAAGGATAGACCAACTTCAACGATGTGACGGTGTTTACGTTCAGCTGACCCGTTTTGCTGATGAGCATGAGGGCAGGAGACATGATGAGAAATTCCTATTTTGGTAAAGAAGGAATTCAACTTTTCGTACTCCCCTCCCCAATCTGTTTGGAGAGCTAGGATTTTGCGATCAAATTGTCTTTCAACAAGATTTTGAAAGTCATGAAATTTTTAAAAAACTTCAGACTTATGTTTGATAAGGTAGATCCATGTGAATTTACTGAAATCGTCTATAAAACTCACATAGTATTTCTTTCTTCCTACAGTTTCAACGGCAGGACCCCACACATCAGAAAAGATAAGTTCTAAAGGAAATTTTGATTCACTCATAGATTGAGGATATGGTAGCTGGTGACTTTTGCCCTTTTGGCATGCGTCACATACAAATTTATTTTCATCATTGCTAGCACACGGGAGCTTATTCTCACTAATGATCTTCCTAACAACAGTGGAAGATGGGTGACCTAAACGTAGGTGCCACCAGTCCGAAGATGGCTTGGTGACACTTAGCACATGCTTCGTGACGTTTCTCCCGATGTGTTTGACAGGATAGAGACCTCTCCTACCCCTGCCGCGAAGTAGAACCCTCTTCGTTTCCAGATCCTTGACAAGAAAAAAATGAGGGTGAATTTCAACGAAAGTGTCATTATCAAGGGCAAGTTTACTTGCGGAGATCAAACTTTTAGTGGCCTCCGGAACGTGAAGAACATCATTTAGGTGAAGATCACGATCTGGGGTATAAATAGTTGTATGACCAATATGATTAATCGCCATACCTGAACCGTTGGCTGTGTGAATTTGCTCGTTGCCGGTGTACCTCTCCCGGACCGTGAGCTTCTCCAAGTCACCGGTGATATGGTCAGTTGCACCACTGTCCATATACCAGTTTGTGTCTATGCCGTACTGGGGAGCATCAATATTTGCCGAGCGCTCTTCCCCTCCCTGGTAAGAGGAGTCGTAGCGCTTCCAGCACTTCCACGCCACGTGCCCAACTTTGCGGAGTTGTTGTTGAAGCCGCCGCCGTTTCCTCCTGGGTTGCCACGGCCGCCACCGCTGTTGGGCTTGTTGTTGAAGTTCCGGCCGCGGTCACCACCGCCGCCGCCTTGCTTGTTGTTGTTGAAGACGCGACCGCGGTCACCACCGCCGCCGCCGTTGCCGTTCTGCTTGTTGTTGGAGTTGTTGAAGCGCCCACGTGACACAGCATTGGCGGAGGATTGGGAGGCTCCCCCGCGAAGATTCATACGCGTCTCGAAGCTCAGCAGCTGTGAGTACAGCTCCGGGACAGTCACAGGTTCGACCCGTGAGCACATGGCAGATACCACGGGGTCAAACTCCTCCTCCAGCCCAGCAAGGATCTGCGAAACCACATCTTCCTCGTCCACCTTTTTCCCCGAGGCAACTAACTCATCACAAAGGGTTCTGATCTTACCAACATACTCTGTAATGGTGGAGTTGCCCTTCTGAAGATTCGCCAGTGCGATCCTGACGTTGACAGACCGCGCTCGGGTATGCGAGGTGAGCATCCCCTGCACGGTGTTCCACAACTCTGCTGCGGTGTGGCAAGTCGCCACTTGAATAGCCATCTCACGTGGTAGCGTAGTCAACAGGTAAGAGAAAACCTGCTGATCGCGAGCGTACCAGGTGCCGAACTCAGGGTTGGGGGCCTTCGACTTGGTCTTGCCGTCGTCGCTGGTGACCTCGATCTGCATGGGCGGCACCTCCTGCTCCAGATCGAGGAAGCCCGCCATCTGCGCCCCCCTGATGGCAGAGAGGACGGTGGCGCGCCAGAGGGCTTTGTTCCCTCTCGAGAGCTTCTCTGTGGCGATGTGTGCAAAGGGAGATGAGGGGAACGTATTTGCGGATGAGCTCGCCATGGATGAATCCGAGGTAGGCTCTGATTACCATGTAAAATCTAGAGGTTTTGGTGTGAAGCGTATGCCTCCTGGCAGGGACGCGTGCGTGCTTATATAATCAACAATGTACAAGATACGGCAGGTGGTTTTAGGCTTGGCCCCTCATCCAAGCTATACACATTATCTACAAGAGATAGGCTCGCCTCTAACCACCTGCCTTGGATTACAAGATGATACACACGCACACAAACACAATCGTGACATTGTCACGTTACAATACAACTTAAGCTTATCGTTTAACACTTCCATGGCAGGCTGCGTCGTGTTTCTTTTCTCCATGGCCTGCTTCCTCACCCCTTCCTCAGCAGCTCTCCATTCTCTTCCTCATGCCTCCAGCCACTTACATTCTCTTTTATTTGCTGATGTTTTAGCCCCTCCACTGGATATGCTCTTCGCTCGCCTCTCCCTTCCATCCAGCTGCATTGCTTTCAGTTTACCTCCTCCTTGGTACTCCCCAAATCCCCTCTAGTAGTGCTGTTTTTCTCCCCCTAGCTCCTCAGATGACTGATGACTTTATGCCTTTCCCCCTTCTGTTCAAAATTTCTTTCCTACTCGGTCATAGATTATAGTGGTGTCATGTTAAGTGGTAGCAGAATGAAATACATCCTGTTTCATGTTTTTCTTTTTGTTATAATTTTGCCACTTCCTACATTGCCTTTGATTATTTTTTTGTGGTTATGGATCCATCAGGTCGTAGTGTGATTTATATGTTCTTCTCCGTGCCAGTGACTGACAACTAACTTTACCTGAGCATACTAAATTTATATGAGCTTATCACAATGCCATTTCAGATTATATTGCTGCTTATTTTGGATCATTGTGATACCTAGTGAACTAATTATTGTAACAAAATTTTGAAGAGCATGCCTTCGTGAAATGTTGTACCACTGTTTATCATTCTACTTGCAGTTAAGTATTGCTGATTTGTGGACACTTATTGTAGTTTTAGGCCGTTTGCTTAAATATTGTCTCAGCACCTCTCATTGTTAGTTGCATATGCAATCGGAGTCATACAAAATCAGCTCAATGGTATAAAACTTTAACGGCTTTTCCATGAATGCATGATACAAATTTAGTTTGATTGATGCAGTCGTTGCCCTGCTGGTATCTAGAGTTACGTTCTGGTGGCTGAGATGCAGAAGGGGGCAAGGGGCTTGTTTGCTGCGACCCACAAGGAAAATTTGCCCTCTATTTAGGATGCACTAGTCAGCTGTGAAATGGACCTGTAGGATTTAGTTGCTCATTTTGATCAACCCGGTTTATATCTAATTTCTGTAGTCAATTGGCCAACTGGGCATGAAGACATAATGAGCTTGCTATGATTAATTAGTACCTTTCATCTGATCTTGCTTGCATTTTGTGTGTTCTCATATTTTCACTGTTATCTTTTGATTGTGTTCCATGTTATATTAGGTCAGATGCCCCATTTAGTGTGTTTGTTTTTACCCGGTTCTACTAATGAATGCTGAGTTCTTTTGCTTTCCTTGAGATTCAGGAAAGGCTTGGATAAGATTGCTAAGGCTTGGAGTACGAAATAAACATGCCACTTTGAGATATGCAAAATTTCACACAAGTGGTGCGCCGACACGCGAAACTCATTTTATTGATTGCTTCGGCAATCACTGCCATTCAACATCATATGATCCCATGATCTACATGTTCAGATCTTTATTTTGAAGGTCACTTGGCGTTAGTTATTGCCCCACCTCTTATTGCACTCAGCTATACAATCCGCAACACTTTATGCATCTGCAAAATAGCCAAGACGAGCACAAGATCCTCAGACCAGATGGTGATCCTTCTGTGTAACAATAGAAAAAAGAGAGCATATTGCCTCGATGTTCAGGAAAATTCATCTACAAACAGAGCAAATGCAATGCAATTATACAAGTAAGGTGGTCTGTTGGTCTTATAGGTCGGCCCCACCGACTGGTCGCAAAACGGAGTCCGTACTGCAGACCATGATGCATGCGGCGTGGGCGTCCTTCTTGTCGACGCCGTCGCAGTTGCCGGCGGAGTCGACGTTGCAGAGCCACCAAGAGGCTGTGCCTGCACCCATCATGGCACTGCTTGTAACAGTCGCAGAAGGACATGGCGGCCACCTGCTGCTTGGATGGCACTGACATGATCTGGAGCTTGATGTACAGGGCGGCAATGGTGGCCACCCTCTTCTTCACTTCCATCTCCTCTCCTTTCCTCGGACAAGCTATGACAAGAGAAGAGGAAGGGAACTGCTGTGGGAGTTCTCAGGTGACTGGTGGCTCTTCTACTCAGTCAAGAGTGTGGCCTCTTACATATTGGAGTTCCAAGGGCAATATTGACATTTGACCTGGATAATTTTTAGTGTAACACGAAAAAGTATTTCAGTATTTTCTAGCACATCAAATGATCCACAATTTCAGGTTTGGTTGTTTTGTATCAATTTCCATGTTTGGTTGTTCAATTTCCTGAAAATAACCTTGGATCTTAAACCGATTAGACAAGCGCATGCTACTCATCTTTCTATTTTCCGTGTGAAGAGGCCTGTGTTGATGTTGAAAGAAAACTGAATGCAGTTTTCATCTGTATATTTTCCTTGTTTGCCTGGAAAGACACCTCCTTTGATATGAATTTGCACAATTCTCTTTTTCTTTAACAAAAAATACATCTATTCAGTAGCAATGCCACTGGGATAGTTTTAAATTTTTGAGATATGGTGAAGGCTTCGGTGTGTTGGCTAATGTTTGAATTTAAATTATTTGATGAGTTAAATATACAGATGATATATACATGGGGGTGTGTTCTTCAGTGTGTTGGGTCTTGGGTGTGTGATTGTCGTTGTCGTTAACAAACTAAGTATGATACAGGGACATGTTGTTTTGCTCCTCTTGACATGGGGATGGGGTGAACGAATCTCGCACAGTAGAATCTTCTCTTTTGGTTAGTCTGGTAGATATGGAAACTGCCTGTAAGTTGTATTTTTTTTTACTGAAATGTAACTATACATATGAATATATCTAGTGTTGGGGAGTTTGCTTACATATTTTCTTAGCATATCTCTCATTGTTATTTTTTTACATTGTCATTGTGTAATCAGATTTTTCTTCTTTCCTACTCCAAAGAGCGCATTATATGCCCACTGATCATTTAGCCTCTATTGGAACAGATATTGCCAAAAACTCCCAAGTTGAAGGTGTGCCTCAAATTACCTTTGTTCTCTGTTTCTAATGTGAGTCTTGTCTAATTACTTTGGTGATTTCAAGCCAGAACTTTTGGCACAATTTTCAACATGGTGTAGCTAATGTTTACTGCTTGAGCCATTCAAAATCTACAGATATGACTTCAATGGCTATCCATGAATGTGTTGTACAAATTGGTTGACTGATGCCATGATTGCCCTCCAGGTATCTAGAGTTACGGCCAAGATGCAGAAGTGGCTTGTTCGCCTGCTTCGATTAGTTGGTACCTTTCAATTGATCTTGCTTGCTTTCATTATGTATGTGTTCATCTTTTCACTGTTTTCTTTGATTCTGCATCGGATTTCTATTTAGGCCCCATTTTCTGCGTTTGTTCTTGGTGAATGTTTATCTGGTTCTCACTGATGAATTTCAAATTATTTTGCTTTCGTTAACATTCAGGCAAGGCTTGGATGAGTTTGCTGTATTAATCAGTACTTTTCGGTTGATCTTGCTTGCCTGCATGCTGTGTCTGTTCATATTTTCACTATTTCTGTGTTGCATCTGGTGGGGAGAATTCCCCGTCAGATTTATGCTTATGTCACATCTTGCGTTTTTATTTTTGTGAGTTGCTTGCTTTCACTGGGATTCAGGGACGGCTCGGATGCGTGTTTGAATTCTTGTAGCATGTGTTAACTTCTTACGAAATAAATATGCCACTTTGAGATTTGCAAAAAAATTCAGACAAGTGGCACCGACGCACGGGGAACACATTTTATTGATTGGTTCAGCTGTGACAGACGTTCAACATCATATGATCCCATGATCCACAGTTTCTTCAGCTCTTTATTTTGAAGGTTACTTGGCGTTAATTATTGCCCCCACCTCTTGTTGCACTCCGCTATACAATCCGCAACACCTTGTGCATCTGCAAAATCATCAAGACGAGCACAAGATCATCAGAACAGATGGTGATTTTTTTCATGTCAACAGAAAAAAGAGAGCAGACATCAATGGTCATGAGAAATTCATCTATAAACGAAGCAAATGCAATGCAAGTAAGGGGTCCGTCGTCTTACAGGTTGGTGCCATCACCGGTGGGCCGCAGACGGAGTCCGTGCTGCAGACCATGATGCACGCGGCAAGGGCGTCCTCCCTGTCGCCGACGTCGCAGTTGCCAGCACAGTTGACGTTGCAGAGCCACCAAGGGACGCTCTGCCTGCACCCGGGGTAGCACTGCCGGTAACAGTCGCAGAAGGACATGGTGGCCACCCTCTGCTGGGATGGCACTGACATGATGAGGAGCATGCAAAGGGCGGCAATGGTGGCCGCCCTCTTCTTCGCCTCCATCTCCTCTCCTTCGTCGGCCGAGCAGAGAAGAGAAAGGGAACTGATGTGGAAGTTTTCAGGTGACTGGTGGAGTGGTGGTTCTCTTAACCTGTTAAGAGTGTCAAGTCTCTTATATATTGGAGTTCTGAGGGCAATATCGACATTTGACCTGGATAGATTGTAGTGTAACGCAACAAAGTACTTTAGTATTTTCCAGCAAATCAAATGACCCACAATTTCAGGTCTGGTTGTTTTGTAGCCAGTTTTGCCATGGTTTTAATTTCCTCAGCAAGATGGTGCCTACTGCCAATTACTAGCCCCTAGTGGAGCACCTGAAATAACCTTGGATCTTAAGCAGATTAGACAAGCTCATGCTGCCCATCTTTCTATTTTCCCTGTGAAGAGACCTGTGCTGATGTAGACAGAAAACCGAATGCAGTGAGTAGCAGTTTTCATACAATTGCCGACTCAATTAGTAGTAGTGATGTAGTGAGGGAGAGATTGCTATTTTAAGTGCCTGGATATGTGAACTCTCTGTCAGGTGGAGATTTTTTTGATGTAGACAGAAAACGGAATTCAGCCTCTAGATTAATTGTGCTGATGTAGACCTACTCCCTCAATCCCATAATATAAGAGTGTTTTCATACAATGCTCTTTAGTAGTAGTGAGGGAGAGATTTGCTATTTTAAGTGCCTGGAAATGTGGACTGTGTGCCTGGAAAGACATCCCCTATGAACTGAATTTGCACAATTCTCTTTTTCTTCAACAAAATTTGCATACGTTCAGTAGCAAGGCCACTGTGATAGTTTATTTCCTTTTTGAGATATGGTGAAGGCTTTGGTGAGTTGGCTAATGTTTGAATTTGAATTCTTTGATGAGTTAAACATACAAACAATGTATACACGGGTGTGTGTGCTTCAGTGTGTTGGGTGTGTGATTATTGTCGTCGTTAAGAAACTATGCATTCTACGGGACATGTTGTGTTGCTCCTCTCGACATGCTCGGGAATGGGGTGGATGAATCTCGCACAGTGGAATCTTCTCTTTTGATTGGTCTGGTAGATACGAGAAATTGCTTGTAAGTTCTATTTTTTTTACTCAAATGTAACTACAAATGAATATATCTAATGTTAGGCAGTTTGCTTACATATTTTCCTAGCGTATCTCTCATTTATAGCATATGGCATTGGTTATTTTTTAATCCAAACTGTATGTAGCTTTCTTTGTGACAATCTGATTTCTCAAATTTTGGTATGTAGATGTTTAGCACTAAATATTTAACACATGATCAAATTGGACTTTGATTCACGTTAATATTGCTTTCATCATGAATTGAACTTTTTACGAAAATAGTATTACATATCATTAGAAGTAGTGGTCAAAGTGTTGTTTTTGATGCTGTGTAGGGCAACAAGTGACATCTGTTTTGGACCGAAGGAAGTAGTGGTCAAAGTATTGTTTTTGATCCTGTAGTTGATGCTTCTACTTGTATGAATTGTATTAAATTCGATTTGGTAGCAACTTGCTATCATGTGTATTTCTAAAAGGTATTTCCGGTGAGCTAGAAACCAGATTTTTCTGCTTTCCTACTCCATAAATGCATTATATGCCTATTGATCGTTTACTCTCTATTGGCACGAGATGTTGCCAAAAACTTCCAAGTTAAAGGTGTGCCTCAAATTACCTATTACCGATTACCTATAATTCTGTGGTGATTTCACGTCGGAGCTTTTGGCACAATTTTCAAGATTGTTTAGCTAATCTTTACTGTTTGGGCGATACAAATAAACAGATATGACTTTAACAGCTTTCCATGAATGTCTTGTACAGATTGGTTTGACTGATGCCATGATTTCCCTGCAGGTATCTAGAGTTACGTTCCGGTGTTCAAGATGCAGAAGTCGCTTGTTTGCTTGCTTCTGTTAATCAGTTAGTACTCCGTGCCTTTCAATTGATCTTGCTTGCCTTCATTACGTATGAGTTCATCATTTCACTGTTTTCTTTTATTCTGCATCAGGTTTCTATTTAGGCCCTGTTTTCTGCGTTTGTTCTTGGTGATTGTTTATTTGGTTTTCACTGATGAATTTTGAATTATTTGCTTTCGTTAACATTCAGGCAAGTCTTGAATGAGTTTGCTAATGTTTGTATTTTTTTGACGTGTTAACCTTATATGTCACTTATTCCTCTTAATAAGAAGATAAATAGTTTGCTCTTGCCATCTGGACAGAGAAAAGTAATATTGTAGATGAATCAAAATAAGCAGGGTTTGCACATGCATCGATAATCTTAAGATTGGCAAATTTTCACACAAGTGATGCACCAAAGCGAAGCACATTTTATTGACTGATGCAGCAACCACAGCTGTTCGACATCATATTTTTATGATCCCATGACCGACCTGCTCGCAGCCCTTCAAGGTTAGTTGGCGCCACCCGCCACCCACATATCGTGGCAGACATTCCTGCAAACCTCAACATCTGCAAAATAGTCCAAGATCATCAGAACAGGCGGTTCCTTTTCCCTCAGTGAAAAGAACACATTCTATCAATATATCCCCCACAAAAGAAAATATTCTACCACTGTACATGATAATTCATACATAAACAGTGCAAACGCATCCATACAGTTTGTGTGAAAAAACACATATTCTATCGATGCAAGACAGGTGGTTAGTGTCTTACCGACTGACGGCCCTGGCTGGTCACAGATGGAGTCCATGTCGCAGGCGATCAAGCAGGAGGCAAGGCGATCAATGGCGTCGGGGCAGCGACCAGCACACTTGACCTTGCAGGGCAACGGCTGGATCCTTTCCTTGCACGCAGGGTAGCACCGCCGGTAGCACTTGCAGTTGACTCCGGAGGGCTGCTGACGGGATGGCTTTGGCAGCGTGAGGAGAAGGAGCATGCACAGGGCGGCAATGGCGGCCGCTCTATTCTTCCCCTCCATCTCCTTGGCCTCACACTCACTGTCGTAGTGTAGAAGAGAAGAGAACTCCTGTGGTGAGTGGTGGCTCTGTCATTCAGCCAGAGTGTGGGATCTTATATATTGGAGTTCTGAGGGCAATACTGACATTTCACCAGATAATTCGTAATGGAGCCGAGATTAGTATTTCACTATTTTGCAGCAAATCAAATAACCACAGTTTCAAGTTGGAGTGTCCTGTAGCCAATTTTGCCGTAGTATTCATTTCTCTGAATGAGATGGGACTTTGCCTACTGTCACTTAATTACTAGCCCCTAGTGATAGTGGTGCACCTGATAATAACCATGGATCTTAAACTGGTTAGACAACCACATGGTGCTCACCTTATGAGTTGTGAAGCTGCCTGTGTTGATACAGAAAGAAAACTGAATGCAATTCTATACAATGCGTTTTATATAAGGGATAGCGTACCGGTGCAAAGTTCCTGTTTATACGATTCTATACAGCTGCATGCAGGGAGATCAATCAGAGTTCATTGGCAGCTTACAAGCTTCTGAATGTAATTACAATGGAGTAGTCCACGCAAGAAGAAAAAAGCCCAGACAAGCCATTTTGAAGCTGCCTGTGCTGTTTTAGAAAGAAAACCGAATGCGGTTTTCACAAATTGATGTTTATATGGGATGACACGTACCACTGGAAATTGTTGTACATATATTTAATCACTTGCTGTTCAGTAGTAGTAGTAAGGGACAGATTGCTACTTTAAGTGGCTGGAGATGTGAAATATCTCCTATAGACTGAATTTGCATAATTCTCTTTTCCTTTAACAAAATTTGCATCTATTCAGTAGCTTGCTACGATACAGTACTGGGACAGTTGGCCATCTTCTTCGTTGAGATATCATACAGACGATTAGTTAAACATACAGATGATGTATAAGCGGGCGTGTGTGCTTCAATGTGTGGTGTGTGTGTGTATGGTCGTCATAAAAATCTATGCAAGATACAGGGACATGTTGTGTTGCTCCAGTCGATATGGTTGGTAATGTGGTGAATGAATCTCGCACGGTGGAATCTTCTCTTTTGATTTGTCTGGTAGCTATGTGAAACTGCCAGATGTAAATATTTTTTTCTTGTAATTTAACATCCGAAAATACCTAGTAATTGTGGTGAATGAATCTCACACGGTGAAATTAACTGAAGTTGTAATTTTTTATACTGAAATGTAACTACACTACACATATGAATATATCTAGTGTTATGCAGTTTGCTCACACATTTTCTTTGCACATCTCTCATTGTGCCTATAACTTGCATATGTCGTTGGCCATTGTCTGATCTAAACTGTATGTAGCTTTGCTTTGTGGCAGTTTAAATTTTGGTCATGGTAGATTTGTAGCACTTCATATTAAACACATGATCAAAATGGTATGACTAAATTCACCATTAATACCGCCTTCATCACAAATTGCAATTTTTACCAACATATTACTTGTAACCAGAAGTAGTGGTCAACATATTGTTTTTTTTTCTTGCTATGTAGAGTGAAAAATGACATCTGGTTTGGTCTAAAGGAAGTCTATCTGTTAATAAGCTGATGCACATATTGTTTTTTTCTCGAGAAATCACATTGGAGCTTCTCACACAATTTCCAATATGGTTTAGCTAGTGTTTACTGTTTGAACCATACAAAATATTGAGATTTAAATTCAACAATTTCCATAACTGCCTTGTACAAATTGGTTTGACTGACGCTACGATTGCCTTGCAGGTATCCAGAGTTGTGTCTGGTGGCGATATGCAGAAGTGGCTTGTTCGCTTGCTTCGGTTAGTTAATTAATACCTTTCAATTGATCTTGCTTGCTTGAATTATGTATGTGTTCATCTGTTCACTGTTTTCTTTTGCTTCAGGCGTGGGGAATATTCTGCGTCACTTTTCTACTCATGTCCCATTTTGTGTGTTTGTTCTTGGTGAATGCTTATCTCTGGTTCTCAGTGATGAATTTCGAATTATTTTACTTCCGTTTACATTCAGTCAAGGATCGGATGAGTTTGCTCATGTTTGTATTCTTTTACGTGTTAACCTATCACAAGAAGATAA